CACATATATATATATATATATATATATATATATAAAAACAGGTGTGCAGCAAACAGTGAGCACCATGAGAAGTCTCCACTGGGCCAGTGGCACCCCAGGTATCACACTAGGAATCCCAATCTTGGACTGTAGCTTCCATTCATTCTGGGGCTCATTAGCTTTGTACAACGTATTAGGACAGCAGGTTAAAAAAAGCTAGATCTAGGTCATATTAGCGAGTAAATGGACTAAGAGAAATAGGAAGTATGCTACTAGATACTACAGTTGCACCCATATTTGTACATCCTATTTTCAGGTCCTGAAATTCAGGAGTATGTCCTTTGTGTGAAAGGAAGTGAAATTCTAACACAGGTCCAAGGGATACTGCAAAAGAAGATGGTAAATTCAAACAGAACATCTTTTTGTCTTAACAGGAAAGTCAACACTGCTGTAGGTGGAAATTTCACATTGCTTCTCTCCTGTGGTATTAGATGCATGAGAAGTCAGATAGTAAGCATATTGCAAAAATAAGCCTGTTTTTTTTGTGAGATGTGCTCTTGAAGTGGACATGCATAGAAGTGCAGCAACACACAAAGGAACACTAACATATTTATTTCCTTTCACTCTAAATCTACAAGGTTTAGGAGAATGTAGTTTTGCTGGGGTCATTTTGCAGTGCACGACAGCTGTTGTACTTTAAGAATTTCCTTTCAGGCATATGTTTCCGTAAGTGAAGCCATTAAGCTATACCAAAACCTTGAGCAAGTACTACCATTTCAAAGGCCTTTTGCAGTTACACCTGGATGTCTCAACCCTCCGGGCCTGTCTATATCAAAGCTTTGTCATTAGGAATGTGATTCATGTTTGTACAGAAGCTTGTGCAACATTATTCATAAACCAAGGGCCTATGCATTTCAGGGATCCTTCTCAAAATCAAATACTAATATATGGTCATTAAGTATTTTCTATTGTATTTGTATTGTAATCAAGTGTAGTGAAGCTAAAGGCATGAAAATAAAATGACTGTAAAGGAAGGCATGTGTTCAATGGTGTATTATCTTCACAACAATTCAAAAATTAGTATTGCTGGAATATGAAACAATAAACTTAGTCAATAAAGAAAAGGCAGGCAATGGTTGAACACCTAACAATAATTATAACAAGGAATGTTAGAATTCTAATAGAAAACTTGCTATTAACTTAAGAAATCCTAACGTGATCAAAACTCTGCAAAAGTCTGATTGAACTAGAATACCAATAATTCAGGCTCTGTTAGCAGAAGTTACAATCTGTGTTGGTTAGAGGGGAGCTATTCACGTAAATGGGATGGGACAGCTGTTCTAACTATACCATAAAAAACCTTGCAGATCTTAGATCTGGTAGTATCACATCACAGTGAATTGGTTTTAAACTAGAAAGTTGTTATTTGGCCTTACTAGAATAATGGACAGATGTAAACCAAACCATTACTATTCTTCCATTACCATGTTATTCCTTGGTGATTATCCATGGCCCTCTTAGTAGATTCCTTTACCTTCTAAGCCGCACCTAAACTTAACATGATTCCAACAGATTGAAGTCACAAAGGCATCATGGGTAATTATTTGAATGATGATTAAAAAAAGAGTAATTCTTCAGGAACATCTGCAAGGGCAAGGGGCGGGGGGAAAGTGAGGTCAATTGTGTTTAGCCAAGCATCACACCAGTGTTTTTTGTTGAGATGTGATCTGTTATATTTTTGACAGTTGCTGAAATGTTCTTGCTCAAGTGCACTTTTATGAAGTATAATCAGTGACCTAAATTACCGAAGTTTTACTACCTTACTTTACAAATATTCTGTTAGGCATCAAAAGTAATTACAATCTAGAAAGCAAAGTTACATTTTTCTAATGCTATTCATTCATTTATACAGTATATTTCCACACAATACCCCAAAGGCAGCTTAGTCTTATAAGTTTCAATCTTACACCTACTTTCAACAATTGTAATTATTGCTGAGTAGACATAGATTAGAATACAGGGTAGAACACCAACATCTAAAGTGGTCCAGTAGTAAGTAGCTTCTACTTGATCCATCTGGGTCAAGTAAAAGCTACTTATGATTAGACAGCTTGGTCTAGTGGTTAAGATGCTGGACTAGGAGCAGGGAAACCTGAGTTTTAATCTGCCTTAGGCATGGAAACTAACTGGGCAACTTTGGGCCATTCACTCTCTCTCAGTCCTAGGAAGTAAAACCACTTCTAAAAGTATTGTCGAGAAAACTCTATGGACATGTCACTGTAGTAGCCAGGAGCCAAGTGTGACTTGAAAACAAACAACCAAACAAAAATTAATAATAATTACCATACATGGCTTCAAGGAGTACTCAAAATTTCCAAGTGATTCCACAAAAATCCAGTTTGGTTCTGAGTATTTTCAATGTAAGGTTCTATTTCTCTGAGATAATATATAAAGTGTGATGATCAAACTGAAATATGGAACCTTCAATCCTGGACTGAACTACCTGGGAGTAAGCCTAATGGAAATCAGTGGGAGTTATTTTGAAACACAAGCACACAAATGGGATTGCATTGTTAGTCTTCCAAAATTCTTACAGTATGGCTTAGCATTTATTCTCAGAAGTGTCATAGTGGCAACATCTAACTTTGTGGTTATGATTCACTCTTTCATTCTTTAGCATGCATTTTATTAATTTAATTTAGCTTCCCAGTACGCTGGCACTGGTTTGATATTAGTTCGCAAATAAGGAACTATACTTAATCTAATTTGGCTCAAACAAGCAATTACAAAAAGTTACCACTTCAGAGTTGAAAGGCTATATAAGGGTAGGGAAAGTAATGTATTATAAAGTCACGGCTTCTGATCTGCCCTGGCACACGTGCAATAATCCTATCTGATGAAACCTGAAAATAGCTACTGCATTCCATTGGGTGTATAGGTAGTCCTCACTTAACAACCTCAATAGCGACTGGAAAATTCATTGTTAAGTGGGGCAGTTGTTAAGCAAGTCGCATCTGATTTTACGACCTTTTTTGCAGTGGTCATTAAGCAAATCACATGGTCATTAAGCAAATCATGCAGTTCCCTGCTGATTTTGTTTGCCAGATGCCAACTGGGAAGGTCGCAAATGGCGATCACGTGACCCCAGGACACTGCAACCGTCAGAAGTGCAAGCTGGTTGCCAAGCACCTGGATCATGATCACATGACTGTGGGGGTGCTATGATGGTTAAAAGTGCGAGGACTGGTTGTAAGTCCCTTTGTTCAGCACTGTTGTAACTTTGAACGCTCACTAAATGGATGGTTGTTAAGTGAGGACTACCTGTACATACCAGGGCTGTTTACATGCTTTGAAAATAATTTGGAAAAAATACTTAGGCTCTGGCACAAGCTCAAGCCTTTTATACTATTCATTAATGCAACTCAACTTTTTCAATGTTCTGCATAAGTCTGAAAAAGAAGTTGCAGCTGCTTCAAGGAATCCATTCATTAAAGTCTGAAGCACTTTTTCCAAATTATTGCCCAAAAGTGGTAATCTCTAGTACAAGGTATGTACACTTGGATAGCAATTATATAAAAGTTTTTGTGTAACAATTTGTCTAAAAAAATATGGAGTGCAATCCTATACTAAACTGGGAATGTTACACTAAACTCAGCAGGGTTGGGGGGGGGGTTGTTATGTACACAATTGCACTCAATATTCAGTGAAACTGAATAATGTGATTGAAGCAAACTATTATTACAGTCACCAGAATAATGATAATTTTTGAGGGATATAAACTTAGCAAAATACAGTGATAATGTGTGAATACTGCAAAGATATACAAAACTGTTGCACCCAGAAGTATCAATACATTTTTACTCTTTAATTATATTAAGTATTTCCCTGGAAGCTTCATTAGTCAAAGATGAGGAGAGTGAAAGAGAAATACAAGCCAACAGATACAGTACACAAGGAATGTATAAACATTTTTATGTTCAACATCAACACATCCATGGATCACATTAAAATCTTAACAGGGTTTCTCATTTTGGGGGCTCAATGACAAAATGTAGAATTTCAAGAGAATGTTTTGAACAATATTATAAAACAGATAAAACAGTGGGAGTAGCCAATGAAAAGAGACTTTACCTGAAGGCAAACGAAGCCCTGCACTATGTTGGATCTCTGTGGAGCCCAAAGGCACTGTTGGAAATACAGATAATGTATGAGGCTGGTACTTTGTAGCATGCTAGATTGCCATTTATTGTGCTTGATTAAAAGAATCTTTAAAATCAAGTGGGATAAATTGCCTAGTGAGCACCAAGAAACATATCGGTGACTACAATGTTGCTCTTGAGCACTATGTTGGGATTCCAGGTTGTATAGACATGAAAGGAAATTTAAAACATCTGCTTTATTATGTGTTACTGCTGGTGGTACCTCTTTTGGAATCATAAGGCAGCTACTTCTTTTTCTAGGCTTTGTGATGCTTAACACAGTAAGCTGTTTCATACACAAGTACATGCACAACTCTTTGGAAACAGCTTCATGAGCCTAGAAATTGATACAGCTGATTAGAAGGGAGGTGCTTTGCATACACTCCCGTGCACACTAAACGCTTCTTTCAAAGGATTTGCACAGCCATGCTTAGTAATAGCTCCTTCTTCTTAAAAGCAATGAGCATCAAATTCAGACTTCTATCCACAGAAACCTAATGATGAAATAAAATGTAACTATTAAGAAAGCAAATGTTGGACCAGGAAATATCAAGCATCAAGGTGCAACATTATCCTTAAATTCATCAACAATTTTTAGATGATCATACAACTAAAAATAAGCTTATAGCCATAATGTATAACCATTCCCCTTAGTCAATAACTATTCATTAATTAGAGAGTAATACTGTAGCTATTTCATGAGAAATATAGATCAGGAAAATTTCTTCTAGTGAAGCTGAAAATATCACAAACGTTTTATATAGATTAAATAATAGTCTTTAAAAAACCCCTTAATGTTGCTTTAAATTGTTGCAGTTTTAAGTGCAGTTTGATAAGATGCTTCATTTTCAAGAATTAAACCATTTTCTGGTTTCTTTGGCTTTTCATTAATATATTATGCATAATATATATTAAACTATTTCAAACAATTGTAGGGTAAGTGTTTTTCCTATTAATATCAAATATTATTTTGTGGTTAATTATTTAAAGCAAAAGCATGTTGGAGTGAAATCATCCAATGCTTTAAACATGTTCTACATTTCTTTTAAAAGCATACCAAAACACACAGTGTTGTGACCACTTCTTTCTAATACAAAAATGTCTATAATGATATTTTTTGCTAAATGTATTTTGGAATGCAGCAGCAAACTATAGATTGCACATCATTTTCTTGCATCCAAGTTGTATCTGTTGGCCTGTGGGCTAAGTAGTCAACTGCCATACAGCTGAACTCTCTGCTGGCTTGATGTATTGGCTGTGAAACAGCCTAGCGCCTGTGGTAGACGAGGAAAAACTTGCAAATACAGCAATACATTCACAGACTTTCTGCAATTTCTGTTTCCAAAAGGCAACCATGATCAAATAATTCTGGGGTGTTGAAGATAAGAATGCTGTCACTCACCAAAAGTGACTTCTTTCCCACCTGCCATGGCAGGATGGTGCACATCTTCTGAAGCAGGAAGGGTTGTACATCCAAGCACACATGATTTCTGCAGGACCTTCACCTTTTTTGATCACCCTAGCTACTGTCTGGAGAGCTTTGCTGCAGAGGTTGGGACACATATAAATGGTGCAATGCTACAGGCTACAGCCTCAACCTATCAAATGGTTTCTCCAAAGGATCAGAGAAAAGACCTTGAGAGAGGGGAAATAAAAGTGCATACTAAATGTCCCAAAAGGCTTTTTGAAAGTGCTTCTGGCATAATTTCTTTAAGCATGCATACACATGCATGCATACACACAGAGAGAGTTTAAAAGTGCTTTTGCTGGAAACCTGAAAATAAATAAATTACATATACATATACATGTATATATTTGTAGCTTCTATGTAGTGTCAAAAAAGCAAATTCCTCTTTTCAGGCTTTTTTCAACTGATCATTTTGTGCTTTCAGGGAACTGTTTAAAGTTAACAGCTTCCCAGAGTTCTTTCACTGTTGCTTTTCTATCTCATTGTTTTTTCTAGAGAAAGCAGTTTAACAAGCCATCTTGATGCATTATAGCTTCACTCAAATACAGGATGAAAAGCTCATTTTGAAGGGACAAAGTTGTCAAAATGGAGCTAATTCGAATAATGATTATTATTGGAGTAACAGAGCAGCTCAAATCCAAGATGTTTCTAACACAAGAAGTGTTCAAGCAGGAACTGTTTTATAGCAAAAGCTACTAAGAACTAATTCTTCAGTCACTGCACACTTCCAAGCTGTGTACATCTTAGAGGTGGGAAGCTTTAGGACATTAGGTAAGATAGGGCTCCATGCAGGTAAAAGTCAGGTTTCCCTCACACATTTTTATTTGTTAGACCCTCATCTCAGGACTGGAACAATTTTCTTCAACAAATGTCATCAACAAGTTTCATTCCATTAATCCCACGATAAGTTACTCGACTTGGACGCACCAAGACTCCATACTTTGGCTTGCAAGTGAAATATCGCTTGTCACCCACAGAGCCATCATTCTTGCCCTTGGCACTCCGAAGTTCTAGGCCAAGCCAAATGCCTGGAGCAAAATCGGTGGGCCCGATGTAGCGAATTGTGCCCATCTCACTGGAGCTGGTCAGGAGGACCTGAGAGCCTTCACGCAATTTCACTGGGCCTTCTGTGCTTGCAGCAGTAGTATTGCTCCAACTACGTCGCAAAGAAGAATTTTTTGATCTAGGCAGAGAAAAAGAGACAACAGCTTTAACTGCCTTTTGAAAATAAAATAAAGTAAAATCAAAAATACAATAATGCACAGCAATATGGAATCAGCCTCCAAAGTATTAAGTTAAACCCAAGGACCTCTTTATACTAACTGATTCTAATCCAATTTCCAAAGCAAAATAGGTAATCAACTGGCTTACACTTTGATCAGTTTACTCTATTTCTATTCTGTCATTGTTAAACAAGGAGGAAAGCTTTTAAATCCTCTTCTTCATTCACTTTAAGCTGAAAGTAAAGAAGATGTAAGCAAATGTAACCCTTTCCTCTCAATGCCCATATTAGCTTTGTCAAGATGCTATGTAAGAGGAAAAAATTAAATTCCTCCCCTGTTGTCCCAAGTTTGTCCCTTGACAAATATGTTCACCATATTTTAAAAACAAGTAGGTTAAAATCAAGTAAATATTTAATGTTACTTCCAGTGTGGTCTAAGCAAGGCTCCAATAAAAAGCAGCAGGAACTATGGAGGATGGGAGAGGCAATATTTTAAAAAATGTTGGCCATTTTGTTCTGGCATGAGCTGGCAAGAACACAGACAATGATTTTTAGTATAGTCCTGTTTTTTTACCATCTTGAGTTATTCACTTCAAAACAGACTACCAGGTTTTTTTAACAACTCAACCACTGCAGCATGAAAATTCACAGACGTGCAGAACATCATTAGTATTGTTTTTCTTACAGACATTCAGAAATAGAGATGGAATTTGCATACATATATCAAAATGATTCCTTAATCATGAAGATTCATGCCTCCACAAACAAAAGGGGATTTTGATTCTTCTAATCTCAGAAAATTAGGAATATACAAATTCTGTTCTTTTTTTTTGTAAAGTCACTTACTTGACAAAGGAATTTCTCCTATTTATCTCTTTTTGTGAAGCTGCAGAGGTTGTACTGAAGCTTCGCTGGAAACCTGAACAGAAAAAGCAGAATAAGCTTTTAATTTAACATGCAGGACATTTCTATGGTTGTCTTGTCACTATGACCCTTCAGCTATTTTGGACTTTGAAGTGGTAATGGTGAGGGACTTTAATCACCCTAGCATCTTTTGGGAGACAAACTATGCCAAGCAGGGTCCTTCTGGGAAATTTCTAATGTGTTGTTGACAATTTTCTCCTTCAGGGGATGGAGATAGGTCCAAGACGATCAACTGTCCTTGACTTGATACTACCCAATTGAGAAAACTTAGTCAAGGAAGATGAAGGAGGAGAAACGTTAAGGGAAAATAATAAGACAATGCTAAAGTTATTAATTTTAAAGGAAACTAGAGAAAATTCAATCCATTTTATCTTATGTTTTAATCAACTTTGAGTAGCAATAAATAACATGCAATGGCAGGAGAAGCTTAGCAGGAAAACATGGTGTCGGTAGGAATTCCTGAAAAAGGAGATAAGAAAAACATGATTTCCAACAACAATAATGGGAAAAAATGGAGGTCAGCAGAAAAAGCCGGTAAGGAAGGCTACACGAAAAGCCAAATGAAGATCTGTAAACAAAGAAAGGCACATACTGGGGACAGAGAGCAGGATGGGGCACAAGAAGACAACTGATAAGTAGCTGTAGCAGTAGACAAGACATCAGCAAAGCTAAAGCTCAGAATATACTGAGGCTGGCAAAAGATGCTAAAGCAATGACAGTGGTTTATTTAGATAAGCTCAAAATAAAAGGAAAAAAATAGTATACTAACTGCTTGATAAAGACAGCAAAATGCTAACAGATAGCAAAGGAAAGCTACTCAGCATCTTTTTTATCATTCTACAGGGATGAAGGTTAGGAGTGAAGTTTGAACATGACAGAAACATGGGCAGGGAATATCTATTTCCTATGAATATGTTTAAATCTCCAGATCCATTATATCCTCTAGGGTACTGAAGGAACTGACTGCCAGCGTGGCCAAACCTTTATCTGTAAGTAATACTGGAGAACTGGTAGTTCTAGATAACTAGAACAGAACCAAATCTCTATCTAAAAAAAGGAGGAAAAAAGAGGATCCAGGGAACTACAGACTGGCCAGTCTGACACTGATACTGGGAAGGAGACAAAGCAAATCATGAAGACTTGCATCTTGAAAACAATGCACTAAGTACCAGAAGTTAGCATGGATTTGTCAAGAACAAGTCTGTACAGACTATCATCTCATATTTTGATGTGGTTACTTCCTTAGTACTTTGTAATTATATAGATGTAATTTCAGCAAAGGTTTTAATAAAATACCCCCATGATATTTTGATTGACAAGCTAGTAAACTGTGTGCTGGTTGGCATAACAATTACATGACAACACAGTTGGCTCAAAAGTGTACTTATCAATGAATCCTCATCAACCAGAGCAAAGTATCAAATGAGGAGCCCCACAAACTGAAAAGAGCTATCAAGTTCCACTATGTTCTGACTTCACCTCAAGCACTCTGTCTAATTCTGGGCGCCGCTAAGAAGGATTCAGAGAAACATTCAGAGAAGAGCGATGAAGATGATATGGGGATAGAAATTAAGAAACTAGGTTAACTAACTTAATCCTGAGAAGAGTGAAGCAGGATATGATAGCATTCTTGAAACAGTTGAAAAGATGTCAAACAAAATAATTATTCTCCATCCAGGTTCCAAGTATAAGACATGGATTCATGAATTTGAGTTACAAGAAGGTAGATTCCAATTCAATGCTAGGGGAAAAATGAGAGCAATTCAACAGTAGAACCAATTTCCAGAGGTGAACTCTCATTCGCTCAATGTATTAAAATGAAGACTAGACAGCCATCTTTCAAGAATGATTCAATTTGCATTTCTGTATTAAGTTGGGTATTGGTTTTGAGAGCGTGAATGGCCCCTTCCAACTCCAGTTCTATTATTCCAACATTCCCAGCCACTATGCCTAACAACCACCCTAGTAAAAGAGGGTATTTTTGAAGATATTGGTATATGCACATTTAAAAACACAGCACAAAAAACCCTAAAAATAATTAATTTCTAATTTGCTATCCCCGGTGATTCAGTCCTTTATTGAAAATATAACTGTTTTTGTAACGTGAAGCTTTAAACTTAATCTTTTAACTGCCCTACTTAAAGTAATGGACACTGTTGGACTTGATTTTCAATACAGGTAGTCCTCACTTAATGACCACAATGGGGGATGGAAAATTGGTTAAGCAGGGCAGTCATTACGTGAGTTACCACACGACCAAACCCGATTTTATGATAATTTTTACAACAGTCGTTAAGTGAATCACTGCGGCCGTTAAACAAATCCAGCTTCTCCAATGAACATTTTTGCCAGAATACATGTAATAACCACGTGATTCACTTAATGACCGTGATGATTTGCTTAATGGCTGCAGCGATTCACTTAATGACCATCATAAAAAAGGTTGCAAATCACAATCATGTGACCGCAGGGAGTGTGATGATTTGTGACAGTCATAAGTGCAAGTACAGGTTGTAAAGCACTTTTTCTGAGGCCACCATAATGTTGAACCATCATTAAACAAACAGTTGTTAAGAGAGGATTGCCTGTAGATTCATCAGAATTAGAATACTAATATTAATCCCACATTTTGGATTTTATAAACAAATTGTATGTAAGATTAGGTATACATTTAATATGCAAGGTTTTAACTACATTTCACAGAGAAATGTCATCTACAGATTTCTGGAATCTAGGAATGTAATCTATAGATCTCGAGAATCTCATAAAAAAACCCACTCTTCTTAAAAGATTATATTTAAAACAGGAAATGCTTTTTAAAAAAATAAAGTTCCAGGTTTTTTAAAAATTAAAAAAAAGAAAGAAAGAAAACCCTCCTGCCTTCCCAATTCATTCTTACTTTACATCATCTACAGCAAATTTCTGCAATTTGCATAGGTAATAGAAAACAAGAAAATGAGATCCATATTCTATTCTTACCAGAGAAAGAATGATTCATTTTACTTGATGAAACATCGGTGAGAGATTCTAGTGATCCTGTTAGTCTGCAAATGAAATCATGTATTTGTCATTCAAGATAACAAAAAAAGCAAAAAAAAAAGGAGCAGTGTAATTATTCCTTTACTCTAGCACTGGTAAGGATGGAATTTTCTGAAATCAAAATGCAATCTTCCCCAAACTAGTGTCCTCCAGATGGATTGGACCTATAGTACTCATATTCCTGAAATCAAGATCCTTTCATCCAACATAATCAAGAATGAAGTGCTGGGGCATCACTGCAGAAAAACTGGTAATGGAAGGCCCAACTGGAAATGGGTCTTTAGAACATATAAATATACTTTCCCCCATGATTCACACTGTCCCCATTATTCACATTCTCCAGGTACAAGAGGGACAGAATAAATATCTATTAAAGTTCCCTAAATGAGTAAGGCATTTCAGGGATCAAATACTCTGCAGCAGCATATCCAGCCACAAAATATGTATCCTGTAGATCAGCTTTTAGGAGTCCTACAGCAGAATCCTGTTTTTCACTTCTTGTAGTTCAGTTGCCATTAATCCCTAAACAGCAATCATTGCGAGGAGATCCACATTCCAAGATGTGCAAAATACATAATTTTGATACAGATTTCTGACACTAGTGGAAGATTTCCATGGTTCCCAACCCAACTTCTTGTCTTGCTAGGAGCCAACACAGACTTTTTAATTGGCATTTCTACCTTTGTTCCCTCTTTTCTCTGTAAAGGTAGAATCTATTGCTTTCTGCTAAATCCATGTCACTCTTTTATGCCATCTATCTCAGTTTTAATCTCAGTTTTCCACTGCAAGTTCTCCAAGATACTCAACTTAACCCTGTTTTAGCCACAGCCTGTGCACTCTTTATTTGCCACTATTTCCTCTTATTTTTTCCTACCATGGTATTTTCTCTTCTACTCTCTATGCCATCTCAAAGTCCCTCTCATTTACCAACACCGAATACTTTCTGGTACCAATTAACATAATGTTATTGTTTTGTAAGCGTGGGATAAGTTCTCCAATATCATGGACTAGCTCACCACACAAAGTGATCCCATGTGGGTTGTCACCACATTACCACAAATTGCTACCAAGGTGCCCTTAGATTTTATCTCCTGTTTGCTAGGGTACATCATTATATACAGTCAGGACCAGAAATATTGGAACAAGGATAACTGTTTTGGCATTTTGCCTCTGTACACCACCACATTGAAGTTGAAAGGAAACACATCCAAATGGGAGAGAAGTCAGGACTTTCAACTGTAATTCAAGAGGTTTGATAAAGTGGAGCACTAACCATTCAGGAAGTACAGCCAAAGGCATACCCCCCCCCCCCCCATTCATTGGTGGCTCATAAGTAATGG